TCATCTCCGAGGTTCACAATTCAGCCTGGGAGTGGACAGCCCCATAAAACCAAATGGGACTAATGAGGTACAGCAGTCCAGGGACAAGGGCCAAAAGGCAGAAGGGGACAAGGAAGCTGGTGACGGAACCCAAGGTTGAGTAAGGATAGTGTTGATGTGTTGTAAGGTTGTTAACCATTTCATAGGGCAACATGTGTACTAACTGTTAAATGAGAAACTATTTTGTTCTGTAAGCCTTCATCTAAAGTGAGAATAGCAGCTCAATTGGAAGAGCGTAGTCGATGTCACTGGATTGTGCATGTAGAAATTTTTTAAATGGTGTATCTTTGGCTATGTATATTTTCACCAAAAAAGAAAAGTTTGAGAAGGGAGAGGGTTGACATGTTGTGGGGCTGTTAACCAACATCATAAAACAATATGTGTACTACTGTTTCATGAGAAACTATTTGTTCTGTAAGCCTTCACCTGAAGTACAAAAAAAAAAAAAAAAAACTGTTCAAAAAGTAGTGGGGAAAAAAATCACAAAGGAAAAGTTCAATGTATGTGACTATCTAAAAAAAATTAAATTTCTGTAAATTAAAAATGAAAAAAAAGAAGGACCCTGAATTTGGACTTCTAGACTCCAGAACTGTGAGCTGATAAATTTCCATTCTTTAACTTCCAAAAAAAAAAAGAAAAAGAGTTTTGATTTAGAGGCAAAGGTTCATTGTGCATGTTAAATTTGAGGTGCCTGGTAGACATCTGGAAACCCTGGTGGGGTAGTGGTTAAGAGCTACGGCTGCTAACCAAAAGGTTGGCAGTTCAAATCCACGAGGCGCTCCTTGGAAACCCTATGGAGCAGTTCTTCTCTGTCCTGTAGGGTCACTATCAGTCTGAATTGACTCGATTGCAACGGATTTGGTTTTTGGTTTTGGTGGACATCCATGTAGCGATATTAAACAGGAAGATAGCAATTTCTTAGGAAAGAAGTCAGGTCTAGGGAAGCAGTGTGGTGTAGGAGAAAGAATTCTGGGCTTTAAATTAAGAGCTGTGGGCTCTGAGGGGCTAACTTCAATACTGTCCAACTCTAACATTATGTGATTCTATGTGTATCCTACTGACCATCTTAACTTGAACTTCCTGTTTTTTCAGCATTTAATATGAGAACCTACGTTTGCCATATTTGTAGCATTACCTTTATATCTTCAGAAATGTTCCGGTCCCATATGCAAGGAAATGAACATCAAATTAAGTAAGTATTTTTTCCAAAATGTTCCTGTGACACTAAACACCAGGGCCTCTGTCAAGTACCCTTGCATGTATTTTACAAGCTTTCTAGGCCTTCATTCGTTTATGAGTTGATCCTGAATTTGGTTCGTGGTATTTGTAACATATTCTAGCATTCTCTAGGGAATTCCCTAGCCATGATAATGTATTAGCAGAGCTGGCTAACTGGTACCCCTCTTTACCAGACAGTATTGTCTTTTTTTGAAGGATGCTAAAGTGATACTCACAGGGTAATCATACAAATTAAAAGAATCCTTGCAAGGTTAGCTTAGTTCCAGGGATTCTGTGGCCAGGTCATCATCCTTCCAGTGAGGTACAGTAGTTAAGAACAAAGGTATTGTTGTTAACAGAGAGCCCCTGATGGAGCAGGAGAAAAGTAGGGTGCAGAACTCAAATTCTAGTAAAAAGACGAGACTTAATGGTCTGACTGAGACTGGAGGAACCCCAGAAGACATGGCGCCTGGATTCTCTGTTAACCCGGAACTAAAACCATTCCCAAAGCCAACTCTTCAGACAAAGATTAGAGTGGACTATAAGACATAAAATGTAAAAAATGTGTTTCTTAGTTCAAGTAGATACAGGAGACTAAGTAGGCAACTCCTGTCTGGAGGTGAGATGAGAAGGCAGAAAGGGATAGGAGCTGGTTGAATGGATACGGGAAATCCAGGGTGGAAAGGAGGAGTGTGCTGTCTCAGTATAGGGATAGCAACTAGGGTCGCATAACAATGTGTGTATAAATTTCTATATGAGATACTAACATGAGCTGTAAACTTTCACTTAAAGCACAATAATAATAAAAGAACAAAGGTATTGTTGTTTAGACAGATCTGAATCCATCTCTTTAACAAGTGTGTAACTTTGGACAACTGTTACAAGGTTGTTATAGTGAAATGAAATAGTATATGTAAGGTGCTTGGCCTGGCACATGATAGGAGCTCAATAAATGTTTAGTCCAATCTGTTATTTTAAGGAGGGGAGGATTGAGGGAACGGTTGGGGACTGGGTAATTCAGGTTGTTGTTGTTGTTATGTGCCATTGAGTAGATACTGACTCATAGTGACCTTATAGAGCAGAGTAGAATTGACCCATAGGGTTTCCAAAGAGCAGCTGGCGGATTTGAACTGCTGACCTTTTGCTTAGCAGCTGTAGCTCTTAACCACTGTGCCATAACTGTGGTGTATTAGGTCTTTTTTTTTTTGCTTTTCAAATCAAAGCATAGTATTTCTGTTACATTATTTCATTCTAGTAGAAAATTTTTACAGTATTTGAGTGTGAATACTTGAGTGTAAATTGTCTGGCTTAACAAATTGATCTTTATTTAGACTTAGAAAAGAAAAATCTCAAGGTTCCAGAATAAATAACCATCACATTTATAGATCTATACAAGGAACTGACTAACCAAAATTTTGGAAGTAATGTGACACTCAGATCAGACCACCCATCAAAACAAAAAAAAAATCCATTGCCATCGAGTTGATTCCAACTCATAGCAGCCCTACAGGGCAGAGTGGAACTGCCCCATAGGGTTTCCAAGGCTGTAATCTTTATGGAAGCAGACTGCCATATCTTTCTCCTACGGAGCGGCTGGTGGGTTCAAACTGCTGACCCACCAGGGCTCCTTGACCATCCATGAGGACTTTAGATATTATTGGTCCTTACCCATATTTCCCAACATGCCTTACGTTTTTAGTACTACAACAGCATCAGACATGCCATCTTCTTTATACCTGTCCTCCTTTTCATCCCAGCCCTAAGAAATTTTCTGTGTAAAAATCGTGAGGTCCCTAGGAGATAATTTGACTATCCTTACTGCTTCTTTTTGGCATAAAAATGCATGATTCAGAGATTTTATATTGAGGTAGGTTTTTAAAATTCTAGGCATTTTATTTTGTTTTGTTTTGCTCTTTGAGGCTAGTATTTTTGAGAACAAAGAAAATATTCAGAATAAAATCATTTAGTAACAAGAACTTTGTACCATCTTCTTTGCAGAGAAACGCTTGTTATCAATCTAGTGAAAAATTCAAAGACACAAGAGCCTTTCCAACATGAATGTGAAGATTACATCAACATGCAGAAAGCCAGAGAACTACAGCCAAACACTTGTTTCAGAAAGATGGAAGAGAGCTTCTTGGAAACATGTGAGTACAGAGAAGTGATCGATTTTGGACCGAAACAAAGAATGTTTGAGCAAAGATTCCCATATGAGACTTTCCAGACATACCCAGGACCACACAATATTTCACAAGCAGTGGAAAACCAGTTACCTCATTACTTACCAGCTCATTCACAGAAGGGGTATGACTCTTTCCAAGATGAACTGGAGGATTACATTAAAGAGCAGAAAGCCAGAGGACTAGAGCCAAAAACTTGTTTCAGAAAGATGGAAGATAACTTTATGGAAACCCATGGGTACAGAGAAGTGGTTGATTCTGGACCTAGACATAGAATGTGTGAACAGAGATTTTCATTTGAGACTTCCCAGACCTACCAAGGACCATACAGTGTTTCACCAGAGGAAAACCAGTTATTGTATAGGTTACCAGCTTCTTCAAAGAGGACATATAACTCTTTCCAAGATGAACTTGAAGATTACATCAAAGAGCAGAAAGCTAGAGGACTAGAACCAAAGACTTGTTTCAGAAAGATGGAAGATAACTCTATGGAAACCCATGGGTACAGAGAAATAGTTGATTTCAGACCTGAACATAGAATGACTGAGCAAAGATGCCCATTTGAGACTTTCCAGACCTACTCAGGTTCATACAATATTTCACAAGCAGTGGAAAAACAGTTACCTCATTGCTCACCAGCTCATGACAGCAAACAGAGACCAGACTCTGTGAACTACTATCAACTCACCAGAGACTGTTTCTCAGAAAAACCAGTACCCCTGAGCCTTAGTCAACAAGAAAATAACTCTGGCCCATACAGTGTAGAATCTGAAGTTTACAAGAATCTCTCCTCAGAAAACAAAACCAGTAACCATCAAGCAAGTCATAAACGGAGACATCAGAAGAGAAAGCGATATCTGGAAGGAGATGAAAAGTCAGAGAAGGAGCAGTCCAAACATAAAAGGAAAAAGAGTTATGAAGATGTGGATTTAGGTGAAGACAAGAACATCCAACAAAGGGAAGGAAAAGTAGATAAAGTCAGTGTCAGTTCAGGAAAGCTTAAACATCGAAAGAAGAAAAAAAGTCGTGATGTAGCCTCTGAGAAAGCAGCACGTAAGCACAGAAAAGAGAAAAAGAAACATGTCGAAGAAAGGACGGAAGAGGAAATGCTTTGGGATGAGTCTATTCTTGGATTTTGAACTTTTAGTTTTGTTTACCCAAGGATGAATTGAAGACATAAGGATATAGATCTAGACAAAGACAAGAGCAGCCAGTGAAGAAAAAAAGAGATACAGTCATGTCAATTCAGCAAAGCTTAAGCATTGAAAGAAGAAATAAAAAAGCTTAAGCCTAGCCTCTGACAAAGAGGGACATAAGCACAGACACCTACCCAGCGGCTCCGAGGGAGAAAGACCTGTGATCTGTTTCCATAAAGATTACAGCCTAGAAAATTCAATGGGGGCAGTTCTGCTCTGTCGCATGGGATCACTGTGAGTCAGAACCAACTCTGTGGTACCAAACAACAGCAAGCACAGAAAAGAGAAACCTGTTAAAAATGGAAGAGGCAATGCTTTGGGATGGGTCCGTTACTGGATTTTGAAACTCTTTAGTTTTGGCATCCCAATGTTGAATTGGAAGAAGTAAGTTGAGAAGTTTGGTTTCATGAAATTCATGTTACTTGAATTTTCCTGGGTGGACAGGTACTTTAACCTCTACCAACAGCCAAGTGAAGTAAAAGTGTTCAATATGCCTTTTCCCCAAGTTGGAAATCACTTTTCTTCGTTTTTTTAAAAACAGAAAAGTTCCATGTTTCTTACATGTAATGTAATTTCCCTTAATGAGGGTGTCTCTACTTGTATTCATCAAATTGCTGTGATGGTAAATTATTTATCCTTGGAGATCATTTATTTTAAATGAGAGAATTACCAGGCATTGAAGAATCCATTCCTTGTTTGGGTTCGTGTTAGTGTTGGTGGTGTTTTATTGTTTTGTGTGTTTATGTTTCCTGGTTTCTCCAAGGAAAATGTGTGAAGCAATTTAGACTGAGGTTTTTTTCTTTGTTAAATTTAATTTGCAGTGTATTTTTGTATTTTCTAGTTCTGAAAGTGGAAAGTGAAACAGCTACAATAATAAGTTTAATGATCTATAGTTTTAAAAAGCTCTCAGAAAGTATGGATACAGAATCAGTCTATATTCTGGAAATGTTTATATTAAAGTATTTTAATTTCTACATATTGTTTTATGTAAATGATCATTTCTCATTCAAAGATGATTTTATTTTGGGAGTGAGAAGGCAATAATTGAGTAGTTTGTACTTTTAGGACTTCTGGGGAGATCACTTTGTAAAGTTGTAATAATTGTATTTCTTGTACATCTTGTTTAATAAAAACTAATATTCAGACTTGAGCCCAGTTTTAGGTAAGAAAAATATGACCAACTAAATACTTGAAACTGAAGAAGGAAAACTTTATAAGCAATCGAGGGCCGTGAGGGTACGTTAACCTTTAAACTGTTTCATTCTGGCCATTTTTGATTCTGGCGTTTTCCCTTTTTATAATAAGCACCTCTTGTAAGCATTGGAGCACCACTGTAGTATAGTAGAAAGAGTAATGGCCTGTGAATGCAAATCCCAGGGTCTGGTCTCAGTGTACCATCAAGTTGCTGTGTGACTTTGTGGAAACACCGTTAGAATCCAACCTGGAATCATCAAGAATAGGAAAATAGACTGTAGTATTCCCCTGATGTATTAATCCTATCGGAAAAGTAAATAAACTTAGGAAGTGATATATCTGTATTTAGGCAAGGCATTTAATAGTGTTTTTTTTTTTCTTTTTTGTGATTGGAAAATGGTAAATATGAGCTGAAGCATAATATAATTGGTTGAATTTATACCTAGTTGAATGACTAGTCCCAAAGAGAGTTGGATCGTTCCCAAATTAACTTTTCTTCCATGAGAATGTTAGTATAAGGTTATTTTGTGCTATAATATCACTTCTTTTCTTTTTAATACATCAGGTGTACTGGTGAAGGAAAGGGGAAAGAAGAGCCAGGGTAGAGGGTGTAGGCTGTCAATAAGTCACAAGAAAAGTCAGATTTCTCTTTTTTCTGAGTATCCCCCCCAGTGCAGCTTTTTCCCACGGAAAGTGCAAAACAATTGTCAATTGATAGCATTTTTAGAATTGCTGAATTCTTTTGCGGAGAAGTCCATTTTGTGTTTACAGCTTGAGGGGAAATTCAGAACTATATATCATAAGAATATTAACTAAGATACCAAATTACTGTAATCTTTTCAAAATAATTTAAATAAATACAGAGGTTCATTAAAATTAGCAGCACACAACTTTATACTGTGTAAAACATTGCAAATTTTAAAAATTAAAACCACTTAAATTGGGTGGTGTGGGTCGGGGGGGCAGGGACATAAGGATGGGGTATTGATTACAGTCTTGGTGAAGTCACCAGTGGCTTACTCTAGAACACTGGTTTTCAAAAATTTTAAGACAGAAACATTTTTGCCAAAAGTTTTATGTTAACCCTACCATAAAATAAATTTTATGTTAACCAGAAAGCATAATTTTCTGGTTGAAGTTGGAGATGAGGGCTTGGAGCCCTACTTTGACACGTGCTTTGCTACCAATTTCTGCCTCTGAGACTCCTTCAGGGAACACATAGAGTTAAGAGTATAAGTCTGAATATTTAAATATATATGCAGGATGGAAAAAAAAAACCACCTTTTTGGAGTTATTATTACATGCTTGGTTTGAAAGACATGCTCATCCAAACAAAATCATATATGACCTTAGGCAAATGTATGGAAGACAGTATTCAGAACAAGCACCTAGCTTCAGAAATATATCCTAAACTGAGTAGAAGGGGCAGGAAGGCAAATTTTGGCTGAAATTGGAAAATAATTTTCAAGAATTGGAATTATAGAAAAAATGGAATTGACTGTCCTGTTACATGCATGCACTGAACAAATAAGAGCTGACTGTCAGCATTATGCTAGGAAGGAACCTGAGAAAAACAAACATAGATTCTGTTCCACAGACAGCTCACGATTGAACGGAGAAAATGGACAAGCAGGCAATTGTAGCATAAATGTTAAAAGTTATAATAGGAGTGATGAAGGGAGCTGTGGGTAGCCGGCGCAACTAGCTTAATGGGTTGGAAAGAGGATATTCAAAAAAGGCTTCGCAAAGGAAGTGACATCTAAGCAGAAGCCTATGAAAGGATGAGTTCTATGTAACAAGTGAAGAAGTAAAGGAAAATGTGTTCTAGCAGAGGGATCACAATATACAAAGATACAGAAGCAGGTAAATAGTTGCTTATCTGGGAAACTAATTTCCTTTGGGTGGCTAGATGAGTCACAAGAGCAAAGACTGGGAAGAGAGGGAGTTTCCTGTTGGCTATCTTAAGGAATTGTATATACCCTAGAACATTGAGAGGCCTTTAAAGAAAACATGATCCATTTTTTCTTTTAGATCACTTCCAGAAAGATCTGAACCCACCCCACCCAAATCATCCTAACACCCATTGACTCCATCTAAGGCAGTGCCACCTATGTTGTTTTTAATTTACTAATAACCACATTTTTAAAAAATAAAAATGAACAGGTGAAATTAATTTTAATATATTGTATTTAATACAGTATACCCAGAACATTATCATTTCAATATGTAATCAACATAAAAATTAGTAATGAGATATTTTACACTTTTGTACTAAGTCTTCAAAATGTGTATATTTTATATGTACAGCATATCTCAATTTGGACTAGCCACATTTCAGGTGCCCAATAGCCACATGTGGCGAGTGGCTTCCTGTTGAACAGTGCTGATCTAGAGAGACTGCATGAAGTTGAGTGACTGATAACCAGACCTGATGTCCAAACTAAAAGTCTGGCTTTTCCCATGAGGGAGCATTTGCTTCCAGTTTCCCAATACTTTTCCAGTGGAAGATACATTAATTTGGGGAAGTACACAATATTAATTGTTATTTTAAATGCAATTTGTCAATCAGTCTTCAAGAATCCATCTAATCAATACTGTATTTTTACGCAAATAGTGCACGCCTTCTACATTTGTTAACCAACTGCTTCTTCCCACAGCGAGGTATTTTCATTAGAGCTGCTATGCCAATTTTTTTACATTCTGCTGTAAAAAACAAAATATTGGCACAGTGCAGTTATGAAAATACCACCCGGGGGGCAGGGAGAGGCGCGGTTGGCAAACAGAAGGCATGTGTCATTTGCGTAAAAATAAGTAGCTGCTTTTTCTATTTTCTTTTTACATATACAAATAATAATAATAGTTACTATTTACTAATTACTTCCAGTATCTGACAGTGCTGAGAAGGTTAGTGGACATTAGAGGCCTGGGATCAGAGTAAAGTGTCTGCAGTCTACAGAAACTTCGGTACCATGTCAGAATATGAATCATACCATGAACAGTTGTTATCTTGGGAAGGGGACTAGGCTTGAGGGACAAGAGAAAATTTTTCACCTTCTAGGCATACAAACCTCTTTACAACAGTAACCAAATATTAATATTCTTTTGGTAAAATAATATTTTGAAAATATGAAATGACTTTCCTCTAATCTGAAGTAGTTCCTGAATGTACTGGCAAGGTTTCTTGTTTCAGGCGTCTTCTGTAAAACTGGTGATTAGGCAGGGATCCCTTACTTTCAAACTCCCACTCTGATATTCAGACTGAAGCCTTTGTTAATATTAATGAGTCCATTTTAAATTTTATCCAAAGGAAACAGTAATAAATTTTACAGTGACAAAGATAATGTACTTTTTTTAAAAAAAGGATAGATAAATGTGGATGGAAACAATTTGAAGAGATAAACATTCAGATTTATGCTATCTCCAAAAGTATGTTATTCATTTATTCGCTCATTCATTCATCCTTCCATTCATTATAGTGTTTGAGTGTCTCCTGTGTGCCAGCCACTGCAGCCTGAACCTATCTCTGCATTCCAACCTTCTCTTTCCTGAGCTCCAGAACTGTATGGTTAATGCTCCACTAAACACGCCCACTGTTTGTGTTCACCTGTATACACACGATTAGGCTTAGATGTCATAGGCCACCAGCATAAACCAGAGTTCCAAAACCCTGGAAGACTACCCTCAAAGAGCAAGGTGAGGGGTATAGAGAAGAGACACCATGATGCTTTAGGCATTTCAAGTATCTTCTCATCCATTTTTTTCTTATGTACTAATTATTTGTTTCCTTTCCCAAATAGGAGCTCATTCCTAAGCCCAAATGGATACAGAGTTAATTAGGAGGTGGCTATTAGGAGATTCCTCTCATGGGCATGAGCTACAGAGTTCAGACACTTGCTACCAAGAGAAAGAAAAGTAGCTCCTTATAGCCAGCAGCTGGTCTGGTACTATACCTAGGCCACGGTGTTACCAGGTGCTGGTATGCCCCTCACACCTAGGCTATGGTATTTTCCTCATGAACATAAAAAATTTCACTAAATAACAACATTAGACAAGGCTACTCTGTGACCATGTTGAAGCAAAACAAAAAAACACTTCATAATCATGACTGAACAAAGACTAAAACAAGAATATTGTTGAAAACACAAAAATGACTGAATATTTATTTTTCTTCGCTAATATTGGTGACTACTGCATCTTTCAAAATTATAGTTTTAGACCTACTTCATTACACCCACATTCTAGAAAAAAATTAAGATATCCAATCTTGACTATCTCCAGTCTAGATAGAAGTCCAACTTTCTTGAACCTTCTCAAAATCACCTAATAAAAGCTAAAATAATGTAGTCATTTCTGATGCTATCTTACTGAGACATTCCACTGCTCCTGATGGTGTACAATCTCCCTTGTTGCAACAAGCCAATAACCCAACTTTGTTTCACTACAGGTGTGTCATTGCATCAACATACAATTGGCCAGTTAGGTATCATTCAGATTACCCTACATGCCCAATTGCTGGTTAGCGGATATCTACCCAGGATTTCTTCAAAGATGAGCCAGGTCATGGAGTAAATATCTGATAAGCTCCTCTTCACCTGGATAACCACACTTTATCTTTCAGGATTTAGTAAAAACATAACTTCCTGTGGGAAGCCGCCTTCAACACACGTGAGACCAGTTGAATGATTCTACTATCTGCTCCTACAGAGCCCTGTATTTCCCCCGTCAAATCACCTGTAATGTTTTATCATTTCACTAGTCTCATGGTCTGTCCTCCATTAAGTCCCTCTGCACTACATTGTACTTACTGGTTCACACAGACTCTCAAAGGCATTACCTCATAAACTTTTTTAGAAAGAGGTTCATCACTTAGGACAAG